TCTGGTCTGGCGCCCCTACGCCCCCCTTCCGTCCGGCCTCACCGTCCGCCCCGCTTTTGACATGCCGGGTAGAAAAGGGGGCGCGAGGAACGGGGGGAAGGGGTAGGGGGAGAGGGCGCCCCACCGGTTGGATGGTTGGGTTCTATTTGGGAGCACTTGTGCTTTCATCGGCTCCTCACTGAGTCACGCACACTCACACTGTATCCACCACATCGCAACGAGAAACTGTCAACTTAACTCATGAGAACGACCAAAAGGATACAAAATAAAAACGCCCAACAAAAAACTCGCGAAATACCGACGAATAAAAGCCAGATCTATAGTTAGACCGAGTTAGACTGTATCGCGTACGGCATGCTCTCGTGCGGCCGGCTTGCCTACTCGGTCGGGGCCGCAAGGCGCCATTGTCAGAGACGGCATTGCAATGGTACACCTACACTTCATCGATGCTATGGGGCGGCATAATTCCTTACCTGTTATCGGGCGTATCCGATGGACGAAGGATTCAGACGATGAGTTGTAGCACTCTTGGTTTCACTGTCTTCGTCAGTCCGACCACAGCACAATCACAGAAAACAGACGTGTCCAGTGTCATCCAGCAGGTCGCGCCAATCCGGTTCACAAAATCCTGGGCGGTGTGCGGACGGGAATGTCACAGACTGGCTCTTTCTGCACGTTGGCAGTCGTGGCCCACCAGAGCAGGATTCGAGCCCGCGTCCTGCGGCTCCCACGACGAGGCGTATCTGATGACGGTGTTCTTGGCGGGCCGCGGCAGCAGCCGGGGGGAGGTTTGCATTCTCCGAAGCGCCCCGTCTCGTCTCGCGACTCAGCGTCCTGCCCTGCGGACGGAGAAAATAAAAAGAGGCGTCAGCCGAATAGCTTGCTGGATGATAAGAAGAAGAAACAACAAGAAAATGCTGACGGGGAGGGGGGGGGGCTTTCTTTTCCACTTCACAGAACACTCTACTCATACCAATATCTTGAGATCGAGCAGGGCGGCGCCCTAGCTGTGAATCACCCAACGATAAATGTAAAAGTTTAAAGACCACGTGGCCAGTCAGCCATAACTCCACGGGCGGGAGCGTGATGGCGGGACACGTGCGGGCAGTGGCAAGTCGCTCCCGCCACACCGAATAACGTGCGGCGGGTGAGCAGGTTCGCAACCCTTGCTCTCCCCCCCCCCCCCCCCCC